CAGTTGAAGTAGCCCATGTCTGGCTCATACTGAATTTTTGGTTTCACTTTTTTGTTACGTTTTAGTGTGTTTTGAGGACTCAATCCTATATTTTCATCCTTTAAAGACCGGCATGAAAAGGCTGTATCAGAGAAGGGGAGGAAAATTCAGGTATTCCTGTTAATTCTATTGAAATGTGCGTTCAGAGGTTTAGTTCCACCTTCCCCTTATCCCTTCCAGAGGGCTCAGAACTCTTGGAGAAGTGGAAGCATGGAAGAAACTCCCCATATAAGTTCTCTGGTAACGTCTTTATCTCCAGCCTTTATGGGAAATGTTTTTAATTTCTCCTCTGGAGCCAGGCTGGGAGAGCTGGGAGTGTCCAGCTGGAAAAGGGAAGGCTCCAGGGAGACCTTAGACCCCCTTCCAGGGGGCTCCAGCAGAGCTGGAGAGGGATGTGGGACGAGGGATGGAGGGACAGGACAAGAGGGAATGGCTTCCCACTGCCAGAGGGCAGGGACAGGTGGGATATTGGGAAAGAACTCTTCCCTGGGAGGGTGGTAAGGCCCTGGCACGGATTTCCCAGACAGTGCTCCATCCCTGGAAGTGTCCAAGGCCAGTTTGGATGGGGCTTGGAGCAAGCTGGGCTAGTGGAAGGTGCCCCTGCCCCTGGCAGGGGGTGGGATGGGATGAACTTTAAGGTCCTTCCAACCCAAACCATTCCAGGATTCTGTGATTAAACCCTTTTTGTCAGATGTGCACCTCACTCACAGGTTGGAGATGATCAATTTATTCCCATTTCACTGTTTTTGGGATTTTCCCACTCTGTGTGTTCTGGCCAAGCTGTCAAATTTCCCATCTCCATCAGCAATCGATGGGGACTGAGGTGCTTTAGGTCTTAATTAAGGTACAGCACCCAGGCAGCCTTTGATGTAGAGCCATGTTTGATTTACCTGGGGAGGGAAACACCAGCAGAGTGTTTCTAACTCGGTATAAAAACCGTTGTAACATGACCATGGAATCAAAATAATGGGGGGGAAAAATTTCCTTATATGCCAAGGGTGGAAAAAAATAAATTAAACCATGAAATTCCTTCTGTTCCTACAGGGAAGGAAAAGGCAGGGAGAGCTCATGAGATAGTTTATTATTCATAATCATGATCTGGTCTCCTAATTCATGGGGTTGGCATTTCTCATTCCATGAATATGGTCTTTATGCCTTTGCCCACGTCATGAATCCCATTGTTTCAGTGTGTTCCCAAGGCAGGACCTACAAAAGCAATTTTTGAGTCTTCCATGAAATATTCCTTAGAACACAGGGGGTTTTTTGTCCTGGGGATGTGTCCATTGGGCAGAGGGGGTTGGATTGTGTCAGGAGGGCTCCGTGGCTGAGCTCCTGGCAGTGCAAACAGGGGCTTGTTTTGAGCCTGGAATAGTAAAAAGTCGGGAATGACGCAGCTCTGCCCAGGCTCTCAATGGGAATTGTGGTCACCATCCCTGCAGCTGCACCCTGTGCCCACAGTTCGGGGGGAATGAGTCCCTTTGGATGGGAAATGGGGGGTTTGGGGAGTTTTCTCAGGACCAGCAGTTAAGGCCCTTTTTAGGGAATAAAGCAGGAGGAATTGATCCCGAGGAAAAAAGGGTGTTCCTTCTGCTGGAGATTGGATTTGGTGTTCGGTGCTCAGGAGAGCTGGGGATGTTCACCTGGAGAAGGGAAGGCTCCAGGGAGAGCTGAGAGCCCCTTCCAGGGCCTAAAGGGGCTCCAGGAGAGCTGGAGAGGGACTGGGGACAAGGGATGGAGGGACAGGATGAGGGGGAATGGCTTCCCACTGCCAGAGGGCAGGATTAGATGGGATATTGGGAAGGAATTGTTGGCTGTGAGGGTGGGGAGGGTCTGGGATGGAATTCCCAGAGAAACTGTGGCTGCCCCTGGATCCCTGGAAGTGTCCAAGGCCAGGGTGGAGCACCCTGGGCTAGTGGAAGGTGTCCCTGCTCATGGCAGGGGGTGGAACTGGATGGGCTTTAAGTTCCCTTCCCAACCCAAACCATCCTGGGATTCTGTGTTGAAAATGCATTTTCAGCTTTTAGGAAACACAGTGTTTGGATTATAAAGGTGCAGGTAGGAAAACACGGGTGGATTTCCAGGAAAACCGCATTTGGCATAAACAGTGTTGACAAATTCCAGGAGCTGCACTGGAGAGGAGCAGATTTCTGTGGAGAGCGGGAGCAGGTGGCTGCTCCCTCTGTGTCAGCAACACTGCCCCTTAGTCCAGGTGGATAAAAGGTGGGAGAGGTTGTGTCCAGGCCTCAGGAATCTTCAGCTGGACAGAGGAATGGTCAATGCATTTAAAAGTCTTGTGATTCCCAGAGGAATCAGCTGTTTGGTGTACTGACCCCCTGGGTTGGATCCTGTAGGATTCACTGTTTGGAGCTCTCCCAGAGCCTTGGAGGGTATAAAGCTGCATTAAATCACGCTCAGGATGATATTCAGGGAGTTTTGGAGCTCTGGGGTGTTTGCTTGTACATTTGGGAGAGAGGCAGTGATAGGAGAGCTTTGCACTGGTGTCTTTATCCAGTGCTTGCCTGGACATCATTTCCCCCTGGATCCCATCTGTCTCCCCATTTTCCTTATACATCCAACATAGTAATGGGATTTTTGGTGGAAACTTGCCCCTCTTCCTTTCCCAGGACACAGTGTGTGTCCCTCAGTCTCTCTGCTGCTGGGACAGGTGCCATATGGATGTAGGGCTGGGACAGGGATGGCAGACTGGAGGAGTCCAGAACATCCCTTTGTCGCTCTGGCAAACCTGGATCTAATGGGAAGTGCCTCCTCTCGGAGGAGAAGCTCTGGAAGTGACGGCCCATGGAATGAGGTGGCTCTGCAGGGTTGGTTTGGAGCTGTCAGGTCCCACTCAAGTGCAGGGAAAAGGGATGGAGTGTTTTTCCTGGGTGCTTTCCACAGGGATGCTCCGTGGGCAGGAATGAGAAGGGGCTGCCCATGGTACCAACCACAAGGAAAGCGCTGAGCATTCCCAAGGAGGGCAGAATCCTAGAATGGTTTGGGTTGGAAGGGACCTTAAAGCCCATCCCATCCCACCCCCTGCCATGGGTAGGGACACCTTCCACTACCCCAGGTTGCTCCAACCTGACCTTGGACACTTCCAGGGATCCAGGGGCAGCCACAGCTTCTCAGGGCAACCTGTGCCAGGGTCTCCCCACCCTCCCAGCCAGGAATTCCTTCCCAATATCGCATCTCTCCCTGCCCTCTGGCAGTGGGAAGCCATTCCCTGTGTCCTGTCCCTCCATCTCTTGTCCCAAGTCCCTCTCCAGCTCCTCTGGAGCCTCTTTAGGCACTGGAAGGGGCTCTGAAGTCTGCACAGAGACCTCAAACATGCTGTTGAGGTGAGTTTGAGTGGTTCCCTCCAGGTACTCTCTCCAAAATCCCTGTGGTTCAGTGAACTGTGGAAGGAATCCCAGCTCTGACCCTGCGGGGCAGAGAGGGGAGCAGGGAAAAGGCCACAGGAAGGAAAACAATAGGGAAGTGGAGGGGAGAGCTTGTGGGTTGAAAAATAGCAACAGTTCCAGTAATGTGACCTTTTGCAGAAAATGTTTCCATCAAAAAAAGAAAGTCTCCTCCTCCTCCTCCTGCCTGGCACAAACCGGGAACGGGGAGAGGGAACGCTCAGCTCTGGCACTCAGACTGTGCCCCTGGAGCCCTCCTCCATGGTAGCATTTGGGAAAAACCCTGTTAAAACTCCTTCCCTGGGATTGATAGAACTGATGTCCTGACTGAGGGGATGAAAAAAACCCCACCTTTTTTTTTTTCCAGTTTTGTTGGAGCTCAGTGTTTTTGAAGGATGGGCCGCTGTTCTCCTGCAGCTGCTGTTCACTGGGAGCCCTCAGTAGTCATTGAGGGATTGCCCCGGGGAGAGAAGCAGGAAATGTGGCAAATAGGAATCCTGGGAAATGCAGGACTGTCGTCTGGGGGGAATTCAGAAAGTTTTTAGTCATTCATGGCATCACAGTAATATTTGTTTTAAACAGAAACCAGCTGACTTTGGTCACTGCAGAGGTGGTTGTCAGAGGTGTCTGTTGCTGCCCTTTTTTACAACAAGCCCCTTCCTTCTTCCCCTCGGCTTTGGGGAGACCCTCCTGCAGTGCTGCCTTCAGGAAGGACATGGAGCTGCTGGAGCAAGTCCAGAGGAGGCCACGGAGGTGCTCTGAGTGCTGGAGCCCCTCTGCTCTGGAGCCAGGTTGGGAGAGCTGGGGGGGTTCCCCTGGAGAAGAGAAGGGTCCAGGGAGAGCTGAGAGCCCCTTCCAGGGCCTAAGGGGGCTCCAGGAGAGCTGGAGAGGGACTGGGGACAAGGGATGGAGGGACAGGACAAGGGGGAATGGCTTCCCAGTGCCACAGGGCAGGGTTAGATGGGATGTTGGGAAGGAGTCCTTTGCTGTGAGGGTGGGGAGGGTCTGGGATGGAATTCCCAGAGAAGCTGTGGCTGCCCCTGGATCCCTGGAAGTGTCCAAGGCCAGGCTGGAGCAACCAGGGATCGTGGAAGGTGTCCCTGCTCATGGCAGGGGGTGGCACTGGTTGGTGTTTGAGATGCCCCCCAAGCCAGGCCTGGCTGGGGTTTCTGACCCGGCACACAGGGGGTTCTTGAAATGAGAGCCTTGTGTTCCATCCCCTCATCCGCCATCAGTCAGGATGAATCCTCTCTGGGAAGTCTTAGGTTAACCTTAATCCTCCCTGTTTCAGGTGATGCTGGATGAGCAGGAGGGAGTGTTTTGGAGACACAGCCGGCGTCAGGAAGGGTCACCCACGTGTTGAAACCCTTTGCTTTTAGCAAACATGTGTTTGTAGGAGGTGATGGCTGGAGGAAGACTTCTTGATCCCTAAATTCCTGCAGTGCTTTTGTTGCCAGAGTTTAACGGTGCTGCTCTTGACTCAGTCCAAGGTTCTGGACGCAGCATGGGAATTAGATCCCTGTGGGAACGTGGCGTGCACTCACCTCTCCTCTTGTGTTGTAGTTGATGTGACCACAGCACTGCCCTTGCAAGTTGCCCCGAGTTCGGTGCCGATGGATCTGCGCCTGGACCACCAGTTCTCCATGCCGGTGACGGAGCCCACGCTGCGGGAGCAGCAGCTGCAGCAGGAGCTGCTGGCGCTGAAGCAGAAGCAGCAGATCCAGAGGCAGATCCTGATCGCGGAGTTCCAGCGGCAGCACGAGCAGCTCTCCCGGCAGCACGAGGCCCAGCTGCACGAGCACATCAAAGTAAGTGACGGGCACCCGCCTGGGGATCGTGGAATCGTGGAATCGGGAAGGTTGGAAAATAGCTCCAAGGTCATCCGGTCCGACCGTTCCCGCAGCACTGCCAGTTCCACACTGAACCCTCTCCCCACGGGCCACGTCCACACGGATTTGGAACATCTCCAGGGATGGGGACTCCACTGCCCTGGGCAGCTGTGCCAATGCCTGACCACCCTTTCTGTGAAAACATTTTCCCTAATATCCAATTTAAACCCCCCTGGCACAGCTGGAGGCCGTTCCCTCTCCTCCCGTCCCTTGTTCTCTGGGAGCAGAGCCCGACCCCCCCCCCAGCTCCCCCCTCCTGTCAGGGAGTTGCAGAGCCAGAAGGTCTCCCCGAGCCTCCTTTTCTCCAGGCTGAGCCCCCCCAGCTCCCTCAGCTGCTCCTGCTGCTCCAGCACTAAAAATGCACCAGCCGGGAAGTTCCAGTACAATTCAACCCACCAGGAGGTTCCCTGTTACTGTTGTCACATATTTAGGAGCAGAGTAGCACATAAAGAGACACTGATCTCTGTGGGGACAGTGACAGGACCCCAGGGAATGGCCTGGAGCTGTGTCAGGGGAGGTTTTGGTGGATCTCAGGGAAAGGTTCTTCCCCCAGAGGGTGGTTGGCACTGAACAGGCTCCCCAGGGTTTGGTCATGGCCCCAAGGCTGCCAGAGCTCCAGCAGGGTTTGGGCAACACCCTCAGGGACAGGGTGGGATTGTTGGGGTGTCCTGGGCAGGGCCAGGAGCTGGACTGGTGATCCTTGTGGGTCCCTTCCCACTCTGGATACTCCAGGATTCTCTAAACTGCTCGTTGGACGTTTGGCATCAGCACAAGGTGCAGCCCAAATGCCTGGCCCTCATTCCCTGCAGGAACAGGGAATGCAGGGGCAGTGGGTGCAGGTAGCTCTGCACACTCCCAGGTTTTCCAGAATTAGGCTTTGCCCTGTGTGGGACAGGGAGGGAACGGGCCCAGGATCAGCTGGAAGTCCAGTTTGGAAGATGGCTGTTGCACAGTGCAAACATTAGACATTATATAAATATTTCCCAGTGCTGGCCCATTGCTATGGCAACGGGAGCTTTTGGAATTGCTAATAGGCTCCTCCTGCAAAGGGGGATTAGTGCTGCACATGGTAAATAACCTTAATGTAATATTAAAAAGCAGCCTCGATTCAACCTTATATAACTTGCATTTCAATACAAAATGCATGTCAGAGTGGGGAAGGTGGGATTAAAAGTTAATGGGGTGTTATTTACAGACTTTTCAGGGCAGAGAGTTTGGGTTTGTAAGACCTGCTTCTGTCTGAGGTTTGATTAAGAGCAAACCCTGTCCTTAGTGGGTCCTTGTCAGGACCGCGGTACTTGGGTGTAAATACATTTATAGATGCACTCCTAGAGGCATAGTATGTGTATCTGGATGTACACACACATATAATAATAGAATAGAATAATAATAGAATTATTCTGTATCCCCCCTTTTTTCTATGTGCACAGTTGTCCATGCACCATTCCTGCTCTGTGGATCACGTGGTGCACTCGAGGGGAAAGGATTAGGGAACTTCTGTGACAAATATTTCCATTATTTCCTTGCAATTCCGTGTGCCTTTAGTGATTTATCTTTTAAAAATAAGAAAGGCTCGTTCCCAGTTCATGGAGAAGCTCAAAGCACTGGTGATGGGAACATATTTGCTCTCACTTATGTGAAGGCTTTGATTCAGGTCAAACGAAGGACCTGGGATGTGACTTTGAGGAGCCACATTTTGATGCAGACCATGAGGTAATGAATTTCTTCCTCTCATGTGGATGCTTGGCTGGATGAGAAACTTAAAATAGGGATGATTTAAGCCTGGACTAAAGGATGGCCTGCAAAGTGATCTCCAGTGGTTCAGTGTGACTGGAATTGCCTTAAAAATCAAACAGCAACTTATTGAAATAAACCCTGTGACACCTCACAAAGAAAAGAACCCCCAAACCCGACACCAAGTGTTCCTGTGATGCATCTTCCTTGGGAAAACATCCCTCTTGCCTTTGGATCCGTAAGTCAGCCCACACTGAGATGACTTTTAGATCTCAGAAACTGGCACCTGTGTTCGTTCCGGTGGCTGTAGGTGCAGGGAAGGGATGATTTTGTCCAGAGAACTACAATATATAGCTTTTTATTTGGACTTTGAGCTGTCCAGCTCCTTTAGGGCTCAGGAAGGAAGCAGGGGGGATATTAAAGCAAATAAACCCCATTTTATTCTCTGTAAGTGAAGCACTGGGTCTTGAGCTGTGGAATTTGGGATAGCAACAGTCCTGAATGAAGATGCAGAGCTCTTGGGGAGCTCCGAGTCTTCAGTGTCTTACATTCAGAAGGAATTGTGGTTTGGGGTTGTTTTATTCCTTTTATTGCCCTGATGTTGGTGGAAAGAGAGTAACTGGTTGGATTCAGTGGGAAGAAGGGGGGACATCTCTGCTTCCCACCCCCCAGACAAAGCCTGAGCGTAAGAAACATCTTAAAAGTCTTCTCAAGTAAGTGAAATTTGGCTTGGAAAGTGCTGGCATGCCTTGCTTGTTTTTCTATTCCAGTAGATAACTTTTTCCTATTAAGAGCTGAAATTCTGGCATTTCCCAGAACTTGGTTGGATTCCATAATCATCTGCCATCAGGAGGAGAAGCCGGTGGGATGACGGTCTGAGCATGTGATCCCTTCCCTGGGCTGTCCCAGTCCTTGCTCTTACAGACGTTGTGTTCTAGCCTTCGCACAGAGGGGCCAAATTCTCCGAGGTGGTGCAGTTTGGAGAGGGCCAGGCTGTGAGGGAAAAAATATTTGTGGAAGGGCTCTACAGTGGCCAGTGGGCTCATTGCACGGTGAGAAAATGTGGAGAGCTGGGACAAGGGGGAATGGCTTTAAACTGAGAAAGAGCAGGCTTCGATTGGATGTTGGGAAGAAGTTCTTTGCTGTGAGGTGGGATGAGGCTTGGAGCAGCCTGGGCTAGTGGAAGGTGTCCCTGCCTGTGTTGGAACAAGACGGGCTTTAAAGTCCCTTCCAACCTTAAACCGCAACCCTTCTGTGGTCCTGTGATGATCCTGCGAAAACCTTGACGTGTTTAGGGAAAATAAGCTGAGCCTTTGGAAGACTCCCCGCCATCCAGAGCAGGGAAGGTGTCTCACAGCTCCAGCTCAGCTTTGCAGATTCCCGAGGCTCGACATCGGAGCGCGGCACCGGAGAGGCCACCGGAGCCGGGCAGCACCGGGGGCAGAGGTTCCTCTCTCCTGTAGCCACTTCCCAAGATGGATTTTCCATCCCAACGTGCCTCAGCAGATGTGTGACAATGTTTATGGCCTTGCAGTCTGCCTTCCCGAACAAACCCAAGGGCGGAATCGGGAGCCTGGAATAAGGCCATGGAAAGCCTCTCCACAGGTCCCCCTGTGAGCTTCGCCTGACCTTTGGTTGTGAAGGGATGGCAGGGAATTTTTTCCTTTCTGAGTCACTCATTCCCAGCCAAGATCAGCTGGAAGTTACCGAAAGCTTTTCCGTTTGCCTTCTGGTCAAGGGGCTGGAGAGGGATGATGGGAGCGGAGCAGGATCGGTGCCTTGGCAGGGCCAGAGGCTCCTGAGGTGGTGTGAGCTCAGTGGAGAAGGGAAGGACGTCGTGGGGAGTGTGGTTCGTGTGCTCTGTCCCAGCCTGGAGCAGGGCTCTTCCCAGCTCCGGCTGTTTTATGGCTACACCTGGAAACTCCTCTGGGCTGCTGACGCACACGGGCAGGAGCACACGTGGGACACACCAGAGTGGCCTGGCGGTGGTGGGACAGCCCAGCTGAGCCTCTGGGCCTGCAGTCCTGACCTGGAGACGTGCAATCCTACTCCCAGTTTTCCTGTCGTCTGAGAAAAGACGTTACGTGCCTCAGCAGAGAGGGAGTTTTCCCATGGAAGTTTGCGTGGAAGCAGCAAGAGGGAAAGGAGCTTTGTAAGGATGTTCGGTCTGAAGCAATCCTGGAATTGTTCTCTTTCCATGGACACAGTGATTTCCTGCTTGGAGTGAGGGTGGTAACACATCAGAGGTGTTGGCCTCTTGTTCAGGGGTGAAGCTCTGACCATTCCTTTGGTTCCAGAGGGTAAAAGTCTTTCAGGGAATCTTCCATCAGCTTTTGCTGCACTGTAAAGAAATGAAATTTTTTCCCTAAAGGTGTCTCAACTTGACAGTTATCATGTGGATCCTGAAGGGAGAAACTGCTCTTTGCTTCCATGTGGAGCCACCTGCCCTTGGAATGGCCTGCAGGATATTCCTGGAGGTGTCCAAGGCCAGGTTGGACAGGGCTTGGAGCAACCTGGGCTAGCGGAAGGTGTCCCTGCCTGTGGCAAGGGGCGGAATGGGATGAGCTTTAGGGTCCTTTCCAACCCGTTCCATGATTCTGTGACAACTCATTGGGCCCAAATCACATCATCTTTTAGTTGCTCTTGGTGTAGCCCTGACGGTGCCTAGAGCTTCTCTTCAGGGCCTCTCCATGTTCATTCCCACTCAACAGGAAAAAATGGGCATGTTCCAGTCCTGCTGAGGGGGTTGGTGTCATCTGCTGATCCCTTGGAGCTGTGCTGGGTTCACCTTCCCCGTGTCCCCAGCCAGGGACACCTTGATTCCTGCAAAGCATCCGCTTCCCTTAGACTCTGGAAGGGCAAACTTACACCTCACCCTCCCATATTCCAACTCCTATTCCTGGCTGTGTCTGCTCCCTCTGTGGGTCCCAGCTCCTGTTCCTGGCTGTGTCTGCTCCCTCTGTGGGTCCCAGCTCCCGTTCCTGGCTGTGTCTGCTCCCTCTGTGGGTCCCAGCTCCTATTCCTGGCTGTGTCTGCTCCCTCTGTGGGTCCCAGCTCCTATTCCTGGCTGTGTCTGCTCCCTCTGTGGGTCCCAGCTCCTGTTCCTGGCTGTGTCTGCTCCCTCTGTGGGTCCCAGCTCCTATTCCTGGCTGTGTCTGCTCCCTCTGTGGGTCCCAGCTCCCGTT